CCTTGGGTTTCTGAGGCAGTATCACTATGGAAGTAGATTGCCCCATCTTCCTTCTGAGGAGTGGCTGGTGGGTTTGAACCGCCAGCCTCCTGGTTAGCAGTCAAGTGTCTTAGGCACTACGCCGCCAGAGCTCCCATGCCTGAACATAAAGAACACCAAAATCCTCACAATTGGACCAATAAGCAACATTATGATAAACAGATGAAAGATTGAAGTCAAGAATTTCATTTTTACTCGGATCCACAATCAACACTCCTGGAAGCAGCAGTAAAGAAATCAAACAACATATTGCATTGAGCAAATTAGCTGCAAAAGACCTCTTTAAAGTGTTAAAAAGCACAGATACCATTTTGAGGACTAAAGTACACTTGACACAAGCCATGATATTTTCAGTCACCTCATATGCACGTGAACACTTCACAATGATTAAGGAAGTCCAAAGAACTGATGCTTTGAATTATGGTGTTGGCTAAGGATATTGAATAAACCATAGACTTCCAGAAGAATAAGCAATTCTATTTGGGCAGAAGTATACCCAGAATACTCTTAATAAGCACGGATAGTGAGACTTCATCTGATGTATTTTGGGCATGTTATCAGCAGGAACTAATCCCTGGAAAAAGATATCATACTTCCTAAAGTAGAGAGTCAGTGAAAAAGAGAAAGGTCTTCAAGGAGATGGATTGACACAGTAGCTGCAAGAGTGTGAGCAAGCATAACAAAGATTTTGAGGATGGTACAATACTGGGTGGTGTTTTGTTCTGTCATATGCAGGATTGTTGAGTTGGAACTGACTCGAGGCACCTAGCAGAAACAACAATTTCTCAATTATATAGCTGTTAATTGGAGAGTTCAAAAAGCCACTTAAACTTATGTTGAAGTTTGGTGATCTGCAAAGTAATAATTTATATTTGCTTTTTGGTTACTCAAATCCGTAGCCAAAAAGATAAGCATTTTTTATATTTATTCATATTTAAGTATATATTTTAACACCTTCAGAGAAAGGCCATAGCTTTCTTTTTGCATCTTGAAAAAAAACTTAAGAATGTGATCTGGTTATTCTTTCTGACTATTAATAGTAGAAGGAGCAACCCTCATGAAATCCTAGAATCCACACAACATTTAAATATCCTTTTTGTTATAGATCTTCCTAAGAGTTTACTATACAGTGCAAATCATTCCAGATTACCATAGATGATAAATCCTTTTACAGGTGATCACTTTTTCCAAGAAATGTCAAATTTTTCATACCTAGATACAAACTGGATATTCTGTCTCAACTTTTTACTCATAACTGGTACAAAGATTTGACCCTTGATTCTTTCCATCTTTTGAGTGTCTGCTGCCTATTATCATATGGTTGCCAATTACTAGACTAATTGCAAATACACTAAAACAACTTTTGCTCATTGAAGTACAAATGTAGTTTGTGGATATTATTTGAAGCTCAGAGAAATACAAAGAAACCTACAGAACACAAGTTCATCAAATGAAGTGAAGGGAACACTGCAGATTCAGAGCCCCCTTCAAAATGATGTCCCAGAATTAGCCTAGTGAAGTCATCATTACCACAAGACACTAAGTGTTTTTTCTGGCACTTGTTGTTGTTGTTATGTGCTGTTGAGTCGGACTGACTCACAGCGACCCCTCCTTGCGTTTCTGAGGCAGTATCACTATGGAAGTAGATTGCCCCATCTTCCTTCTGAGGAGTGGCTGGTGGGTTTGAACCACCAGCTTTCTGATTAGCAGCCAAGTGCCTTAGGCACTATGCTACCAGAGCTCCCATTTCAGGCACTACTGACCTATTATTTTTTGAAATCTAGCTATTGCTACCCCTACTAAAGCTATGAACACCACAAAAAGTGTTCTCTATTCTCCTTGTTTCTTTGAATCACTACTGTAGGCATTATAGGTAGAAAAATTGTCCCACAAATAAGTTCATGTCCTAATATCCAGAACCTGTAAGAAGGTTATGTTACTTGGTGTGGCAGTAAAAGTTATGTGTCAACTTGGCTGGGGCTGGTTTTGAGTGGCTGGACAGCTGGATGTAGTTATTCCCCATGATGAGACTGGTAACCAACTACATGATAGAATCTACTGGAGCAGCTGAGTAGCTGCCTTAGGGGTGTGGTCTGCTTCCAGTGTATAAGAAGAAGCATTGAGAAAGGTCTCTGAGCTTTTTGGCATGCTTAGACCCTGCTTGTCACTGAGTCTTCATTCAGCAGCCTGCCTTGTTTCCTGCTAATCTTGGAACTGTCTTTGGACTTGAACTAGAGGCCTGCCATATTGTTTCCTAATCTTAGGACTGTGTCATTGTATTTATTGACTTTGAGTTTGTCAGCCTCAGCATCCAGGAGCTGCCTGAGTTAAGAGAAGCCTCTAGTTTCAGGGGCTAGGAGCAAGAGACAGAGCTGAAGCCCAAGGTTGAGGGGCTTCACCAAGCCCCTAGAGCTGGTACTTTGAACTTGGACTTCTAGCCTCCTAAAGTGTAAGAGAAAAAAAATCCTTGTTTGTCAAAGCCAGCCATTTGTGGTATTTTCTGTCAGAGTGGCACTAGAGAACCAAAACACATGGCAAGGAAGAATTAAGGTTACCAATGGAATTAAGGTTGCTAATCAGCTGCTGTTAAAATGGAGAGATTATTTGTTATTATCCAGGTGGTCCTATTGGAATCACAGAGGTCCTGATAAGTGATAGAGGGAGAAAGGAGAGTCAGTTTCAGGTGATGTAATGTGAGAAGGACTCAACTGACTCTTGCTGGGTTTTAAGTTATAAGTTGACCGTAAGCCAAAGAATGTGGCCAGTCTCTTGGGGATGGCTGGAAGACAGATTCTTTCCAGAGCCTCTAGTGGGGAATGCAGGCTTACTGACACCTTGATGCTAGCCCAGTGGCCTATTTTAGAATTCTGATCTCCAGAAATGTAAGATAGTAGATTTATGTTGTTTTAAGTGACTATATTTGTGAGAACTTGTTACAGTAGTAATAGAAATCTAATGACATTATTTCTGCATTGAAACTATTATGTGTTATGGCTTGATTTGTGTTACCCAAAAAAGATAGGTTGAAATCTTAACCACCAGAACCTGTGAATGCAACCTTATTTAGAAATAGAGTCTTTGCAATGCAATGTGATTCATTAACATTATCATTAGAGTGAACCCTAAACTTCTCTGACAGGTATACTTGTAAGAACAGAAAGGAGAACACAATATGCAGACAGAAGGACACACACAAAGGACGATGGCCATGCAAAGGTGGAGGCTGTGATTGGAATGACGTATCTACAAGCCAAAGAATTCCCATTAGTGGGCCACCACCAGAAGCTAAGAGGCAAGGCATGATTCTGCTCAGAGTCACAGAGGAAGCATGCAACTGCTGACACCTGACTTTTTGACTTTTAGCCCCCTAAACTGTAAGAGAATAACTTTCTGTGGTTTTAAGTCATCCAATTTATGGTACTTTGTTATGGTAAATTAATACAATGTTTGTCTCTGATTTGCCAAATGTAGGTCACATGCACAAACCCCCACTGCAAGAGAGGCTGGAAAAGCCAGTGTCTGACCTTTGTGGCTTCTAACCCCAACCAAGACACTTTGACTGGGAATATCCTAAGATAGCGTTTAAATGCTTGGCAGCAAACAAAAAAAAATAAAACAAGAAAAATGTACATACACACTTTTAACTACAGTTTATTCATTAATTTGAATATTGTTGTTGTTGTTGTTGTTATGTGCCGTCGAGTCAGACTCGACTCATAGCGACCCCTCCTTGGGTTTCCGAGGTGGTATCACTACGGAAGTAGATTGCCCAACCTTCCTTCCAAGGAGTGGCTGGTGGGTTTGA